AAGAGGCGGCTTCAGGCTTACCAAATGGGTAAGCAACGACAGGGAAGTGCTGTCTAGTGTTCCAGCTATGGAAAGAGCTGCATCAGTCGTCGACCTAGACCTAGACCGCCTACCCAGTGAGAGAACTCTTGGAGTTCTGTGGGACGTTGACGCAGATGAGTTTGGTTTCAAAGTATCTATTAAGGATACGCAGTTGACAAGGAGAGGGATTCTCTCAGCGACAAGTTCCCTCTATGATCCTTTGGGCTTTGTAGCTCCCTTCATCCTCAAGGCAAAGCTGCTACTACAGGACCTTTGTGCTCAGGGCAAAGGTTGGGATGAGAGGGTCGGTGACGAAGAATTACAGCATTGGAAGAACTGGATCCTTGAGCTTCCAGAGTTGACAGCTATAAAGGTTGCCAGATGTTTTAAGCCTCCCGAGTTCAAGGAAGCCAACATTGAACTTCACACATTCTGTGACGCATCAGAGAGAGCCTACGCGGCATGTGCCTATTTGAGAAGTGTCAGCCTTGAAGGCAACATCCACTGTGCCTTTGTTATGGGCAAGACCAGGCTCTGCCCTCTTAAGAAGATAACGATTCCCAGGCTCGAGTTGTCTGCGGCCGTGCTGGCAGTGAAATTGGTTCAGGTCATAAAGGAAGAGCTGAGACTGTCGTTATGGGATGTAACCTACTGGACGGACTCAACCTCAGTTTTGCAGTACATCAGTAATGAGAGCAGAAGATTCCGCACTTTCGTTGCCAACCGGGTTGCCAAGATACATGAACTGAGTGAGGTGTCCCAGTGGAGACATATTGACTCGAGCAGGAACCCTGCAGATGATGGTTCCAGAGGAGTGCATGTAAAGAACCTGTCACGTTGGCTTACAGGACCAGAGTTTTTGGTTGAAGAAAGGAGCAGTTGGCCTGACAAACCATTTGTCTCCGGTGGAGGGACAGTTCCCAAGGAAGATTTGCAGAGTGACCCAGAGTTTAAGAAGTCACAAGTGTATGCAGCTGTCTCTTCGAGTCCCACACAGGATCTGTTGTCACACTATTCCTCGTGGTCCCGCCTGAAGCAGGCAGTTGTGTGGATGCTACGGTTCATGAAGTACCTTGCCTCTCGTGTTAGAGAGAAGCCAACATTCAAGGAGACGGGTCCCCCGACTGCCCAAGAGTTGGACATAGCTGAAAGGCGCATAATTAAGTTCGT